ATGGGTGGGTGATGTACATATAAAAGGAATTAAAGTAATTGAATTACATTTCAATAATGACATAATTTAATCGTAATTAATAAAAATTGGTCAAATGAAATCAATTTGAATCGCCTGTTTGGTTCGCGCATGAGAGTCAAAATCTTCAAAGTACATAACATTCAGCCTCAACGTATAAAAGCACATTGGAATATACATACGAACATGTTATTGCTTCAATTCAAATTTTATGTTACAGAATTTTAACCGCTATAAACATAAGTATAGCATATTTTGATCATAAGATTATACATCCTGTATTAGTTTGACTGATTATAAGTAATTCCAACAAAATCAGACACTTTACTTATTTACGATGAACAGACGGAAATGCAACAGACACAAAACTTTGTGTGTATACTTTAAAGGACGGAATATTTTTTCTGGTTTTATTTATAACTCAAACTGAAAAGAAGATTTTTTTAAACCTAATATTCAATTTATCAAAAAATCTTTAAATATCATAACAGGAAGTCAAAGCGCAATTCCAAGAATTGAATCTTAAAATTATATTAACAAATATTAAATGACTTCTTTAATTTTTTGTTTTTTAAGTTGTTTAATTTTGATTTTATTTTGAAGCAGGTCGAAATTAAAAATTGATAATAAATAAGCCATAATTTTCTCTATATATTATTATTCACTCAGTTATACACTCAGAAATTTGGAAAACCTATCAGCATTTAGTAATGTGAAAGAAATTCATACCTCTTCTAAAACTCTTCATGATGAATTAACTTTACAAGTTGACTTGGAACAACATAACAAGCAAAAATTTGAGTTTCATATTGGAAATTGCAATAACAAACAATTCATATCTATTAAAATTTAAAATTGATTTTATGAAATTTACTTAATTATTTATAAGAGCATTAATTTTAAGTAGACAAGTATGCATTTAGAACTTAGTTTATCCCTACTTATAACATCGGTTTGCGAATACTAAAAACGTAATTTCTGTTTTATAATCTTTCCTTAACCTTAAGCTACTTCGGAACAATTTCAGTACCGTTGATTAATTTATATTTTTATGTAAAATATTCACGTCCCTTAAAATGTGTAATAATTTTAGTTTAAACGCTTGTGAAAATTTTTGAGCTTGTGAAAATTTTTGAATGAACCCAAAATATACATCAAAGATAACTTAAATTTTTTTAATTATTTGATATGTGATTGATCATTAAAATTTACATTAATGATGCATTCAAAAATATATATTAAATAATATAGATTTTATAGACAGACCACATAAGTCACAAAATGCAAGAATCAATTATGGATACTATTGAACCAATAAAAATATTTTGAATTATTATATGAGTAAATACTAACACTAACGCTGGAGCTATTTTAAACCGAAAACAATGTTCGAAAAACAAAACTTAATTTCAATGATAACTATCTTATAAGTCTTGGAACTCAAAAACAATCATCAAGAGCAACTTTAATGCTCTAACAAACTTCAAACAGTACAATAATTAAAAAATTCGTACAAAAATAAATGTGTATGTAGTAAAGTCAAATAATTTTTTGTGATAAAAAAAAATCAAAATACAAAGTGGGTTAATATTCAATTATTTTCTGACTTTATAAAATAAATACTCAAGTATTTAAAAATTTTATATATTGTTCTTAGATATACATATATACTCGTACATATAGACAGGTGAACGTTTTAAGAAAGTAATATTAATTTAAGTTTCACTAAATACCATAGTTAATATAATTATTTATACATCACAACAACATCGATATCTATATGTACATATATACACATCTCTCATTGTGAATGAAGTTTATTATACTGAACAAGAAAGTAATTGGTACATGCAGTAAAAGTCATTAACAGCCAAAATTACTTAATTAAACTTCTACTTTCAAAAAAAGGTATACGGGACGAAAAACTGAAAAAAAACTAAGACAAACCAACTGTCAATGAATGTCAGTAATGACTACTTACTCAATTATAGAACCTATACAATAATATGCAATTTCTAAATATATGTAACTTTATGCTGAGTGATAAAAACTTTGACGATTTTAAATAGCGTTTGCAAATATATGTTATTAATATTATACACTCAATTATCAAACACATTATTTATTAGCGTGTCATTTCTAAATCACAAATGAAATTAGAATTAATTGTAAATATACAGAGAGTTAAATATTTTCAAATGTAAATTCCTCCTTTTTTGCAGATCGCATACTTATAAATTAATGGCATTATAAATAAAAATTTAAAAAAAAGTTAAAACTTGCTTCGCTAATTTTCTAATATAAATTTTACGATCGGTCCCATAAAAGTTTCGCATAATTATCACGAAAACGCATTATGTATATAACAAAATCTAAGGCTGACGCGAATAGAATGTGTAATAAGTAAGTATATTTAGAAGAAACACATTATGTACATACGTACACGACTACCTAAAGTACAATTAGTTTTAGTGCATAAATATCAAGAATGTCGAAATATTAAACTGTGATTGGAATACTACGTATCAATAATCATAATATGTATTAACAACAAAAAACTAAATGAATCTCAACCAAAATTTCATTCTTATTTTAAAATAAAATCACTTCTATCGCAAGTAGGTACACTCTTCAGAAAAATTAAAAATCAAAAACTATTTTCATTAATTTCAAAAGTTTATGATATTATAAGTAGGTAATAAGTTATTCATAGTATTTCAAAACATATAAGTATATATATATACATATAAGTATATATACGTTAGGTACATAGGCATAAGTATATGATTCAATTTTTCAAACCTATAATACATGGCAATGAAGTAATGGTATAATGTACATACTACATCCATACGTAGTTATGTGTATACAACTTTAAATTCTCTTTAACAGGTCAATAACATTTAATTTATTTACTGTAAATTTTTAATATGTAAGTAGGTAATTTTGCCAGAAGCCAAAGAATTTCTTGAAAGTTTGCTTGTAAATGAATGAATTGATAAAAGAGACAAATGAGAAAAGCACTTAAGTAGGCACCATTGATTTATTTACTATTAATTTTCTAAGCGTCACATACTCGCATATGTACAAATAATTTTCAAAGTAAACCAAAAAAAAAGAAATCACGTAAGGTAATGAATGCATTTGAATAAAATTTGACATTTTATGTATGTAAGTATGTTAATAAGTGTATGAAATACAGATGAATACGTTAAAAATGCTGACACAAAACCACTATAATAAGTAGATAATTATACATTATACCTATATGTGGGTAAGTAGATGTTACAGTTTGCAAAGAAATATTTACACAGTGAAGACACTTTTCCTATTACTAAATTAGTACCTAGTTACTTATTTTAATTTTAAAACATTTTTCTCATTAAAAATTTGTTATAAATTTCAATTTTTCTGAATTGAATACGATCACAATGTTTTACTTTTTTATATATATACTCGTATATCGCCCCTTAATTTTAAATCTAACAGTCAAAAAAATTTTTAATTTTGGAAATATTTATATTTCTATTTATAAATTAGGAAATTACAAACGATTGAGATTTTTTACGCAAATAGGTCTTACAAGGTAGTAAAAGTTTTTACGATAATTTATAAAATACTTACAATAAATTTTCAGAAAGCAAATATAGGTAAAGGAACGTTAGTTTAGCCATACCAATGTTCAGCCAGCTCAAACAAAATTTATCTAGTTTCTTTTAAAATATTTTTTGGTCATTTCACTTTTATTTATAAAGGTAATCAAAATTTGTAAATTGTTTTATTATTGCTCTAGTTTCTTTGATGACTCTGATTCCTTGAGGAAATTGTTCAAAAAATGTTATTTTTAGCATTGTTTTCATAATTTTATTTAAGATCGGTAAAGTAAAATATAGTTTTATTATTAAACTATTTCTATTAAAATTAAAAAATATGTTAGTTTTAGGGAAATAATGGGAATTGGATAAGGTAAACTACAAATTTCCTTTATTCACACCTTAAGAGAAATAAAAATTTATATTTGTAATTTTTGGTCTAAGTTTTCTTGAGTTTATTTATAATCTATTTAAGTAATATAGAAATAAATGTTTTACATAAGTACTGATTTAAAATATTTTTAGCAATACTTAAGAGTTTTAGCAAATTGTTTCGATACAAATCCTAATGGATTGGAAATGAAACGACACTTTAATTTTTTTTAAATTTCTATATTTAGGAATAATTTGTCTGTGCTATATCACAATCCTTAGGATAACTTAGACTGGACATAGAAAAAAAAATCTCTTTTATATTTCAGTACTAATAAAATTAATTATTAATTTGTATCGTAAAGAATTATTTGGAAGGTTGAACTAGATAGTGTTATGTTGATTTACTTGAATTTTATATGAAATTTATATAATGCATATTAATTACATATTAATATTATATACATACTTATATACACCGTAAATAAATTTGCAAATTTTTAAGAGATGACCGGTGGTTCAATGTCGTTGTATGTTTATATTGCTATATTGTAGTTTTTAATAATCGAAAAAATATAAAGAGAAATGGAAAACTTTGCTAGGATGGGAAAATGCTAAAACTGATATGAATACTTGTGAATCTGATTAATGAAACGAACGCATCTTGAAAATAAATTGTTCGGATCCCTACCTTCCTACCTATCTACATATTTATAAACCATCTACATACTATGTACCTACCTATATACCTGTTTCGCAGGAAATGGCTAAAAAATATTAATGGCATTTTCACTAAATTGAATGTAAAAATTTCAAACTTGATCCGTGTTTTTAAAATAAATACGAACAATCATTCCTATTCTGTATAACTCTCATTAAAAGTTTTATTAATGGATTCCTAAAAGTTTTTTTTACCTATAGTTACATTTTGTATATGTATGCATATATATATATGACATACCTACCAATAATGAAAATATTATAATAATAATAATTAATGAATAATTGTTATTTTACCTCATAAATTGGTAGTTTATCTGAGTTCCATTGAGCAATTCTTTCTGCGCTTTTATCAACAACAGTGATTTGTATATCGGGGCATTTTAGTGCCATTACACTGCATGTAGGTCCACCGACATAACCGGCTCCGATGCAGCAAACTTTTTTCACTTGCATATTGCTATTTTATATACTTAGAGTAAATTAAGAACTTAAACTTTGTGTTTGTCGTTGTTTTTTTATTTGGAAACCGGTCTTTGTTTATAATTTGTAATCAATCAATTTAAATTATCCTCTAAAATAATCAAATAAAAGAAGCACATTTGGTCACTTTTATTTTATTTTTAGTTTTTAAATTAATTTATTTTTAATTAACTAACATTTATTAAAAAAAAAAAAAATTGCAAAATGTAGGTATCTTACCCACCTACCTAATCTTTTGTTTTTAATATTGCCAAATTTTTTTACAAGTCGATTTTGTTTACACTATGTATGTTTTATTTTTGATAATTTTAGTTGTTTTTTTTTCTTTTAAGGAAATCACGAATTTTATTCAGAAAATGTGTAAGTTAGCCAATCATACATGTTTATATATACATATATACACATATAAATCTATATTATATGCAAAAAAAAACTTCAAAAAAAAGCATCTATCTAACCTAATAAATACAACTCGACCCAAGTCAAAAAATAAACTGAAATCTTTCAGACATATATCAATTTTAGATGTAAATTTGACTTTGACATTTTCAATTGGAATTTCTTTACAATTGTACCAACTTAAAAAAAATTGTTCTGCTAATTAGCAGTGACGTGAAGGAAATTATTTCAATAGAAGGCAGTTTAAGTCGAACGAAAACAGAGCAACAGTGATTTTCCGCTGTTCTGGATCAAACGAAAATGGGACTGTTCAGAATCAAACGAAATTACCGGAAATTGCACTGTCGGCGGAGAATAACATAAACTCGTATTTTGCCGCTCCACTATCATTTGCTTTGCATTATCTGTTTCCATGGGTGTGTGACAGAAATCGTCCGCCGTTACCGTTCACCTTTGGTTCTGTTTTTACAGTTAGTTCTGTTTTTACAGTTTACTCTAAAGCGAACAGTATTAAACCAAACGAACTTGTTATTTTCTTCGCTCTTTTATTTTTATGAAGTTGGGAATGCTATACTGAATATTCCATAAAAAAATCAAAAACAAAATAATATTAAATATATATAAAAATTTTTTTAAACTTTCATATAAACGAAATAAAGTAGATATCAGATATCGCTCGAGGCAGGTTTTGAAATGCGTTTTCTCATTTTGATTATGTTTATTTTTATTGTTTGCATATTGTTCATTGCTACAAAAAAGAACATTCTGAAATTATGATAAACTAAATGTACATAATATATACACACACATTAGTATTATCCATAGATGTATAACTTTTATTTGACAAGTTTTATGAAAATTGGCCCTGTAAGGTTTTTTCCATTTAAGGTCCTTAGAAGGGTCTTAAATATCTTGTCAACGGATATATTGTTAAAAGAGTTTCAAAAATCTGCAACCTTCGTTTGGAAACTTCTAAAAACCGGTCCTGCAAGGTTACAAGTTCTGAAAAAAATATTGAGAGAGCTGAAAAAAAATTTCGAAATTACATTAAAGAGAAGTCGAAAAGTCTCATAAACGAAATCTTTCAAAAGAATTTTTATAGGATTTTTTGAAAAATTGATCTAGCAAGATCGCAGGTCTAAAAAAGCCTTTAATAAGGCATTTGAAAAGCTGAACCGCCTTTGTATTTGGACTTTTTTTTTTAAAAAAAACGTTTTGAATAAGAAAAAGTCAATTTAATATAACCAGCTATTTCATATTTCGCATAAAACAAAATTTACTTTTCCTTATTCATAATATAGTTTTGTATCTTCTCTTATTGTTTCCAGGAAGTTTATACAAAGGCATGTTTTACAAAAAATTAATGTTTGACATACGTTAATTTCCCCTTGCCCAGAAACGTTTGTAAAGCATTCGTGCAAAAATCGACGTATAAACACAGGTAATAAATTTTTTCTCTCACACATATGTACGTACAGTATGTGGTTTGCCATCATGCTATTGAACTGATTAAATAATAATTGTTAATAATTTATTGCTATGTATGTACATATGTATGTATATATTTCCAATGACATCTACATATGGATGTATGTTATACAAAAAATATTTACATATTTACTTCGGTGTATTATATACTAGATGATTTATGTACTGCATTATTTCTTCTCTTGCCTTTACTAATTGCGGAAAATCAGAATCTCTCGGTTCATACATGTTAGCACAATGTGCGGTTCCATTTATGAATATTGTAGGCAACTCAATTTTATTAGATTTCGTTAGCCCCAAAGCATGCCAAGGATCTATTGAACCGTGTATATAAAGGACATTTGTCGTGTGGGGGTGTAACTCACCATAATACGTATTAGTACGGTTCACAGCTCTACTTAGTTCTACAGCGTCAAAGCTAAAATTAAAAAAGATTCGCATAAACATACAATATTCTTAACACATAATTATTATGTTTGTGCAAACATATGTACTTCGTAGAAAAAATATCTTCACATTGCTTTATAAAGAAATCTACTGGAAAACGATCCCCAAAAACTGCACTTAGATTGTTAGAAGTTTGATAAAATCCAAACTCTGTACAGGTCTGATAAGTCCATTGACGTCCACCTTCAGCTTGTTCAGATAACCAAGAAATATTTTTCATTTCATTTATCATTTTATCGTATTTGTAATCCAAACATTCATCTTTAGTTTTTGTTAGCATCAATTTATTCACTTCTGCTAAACGTGTTAATGGACTGCCTAAAGTTTCGTTCATCATAACATCGCAAACCTATTACATATGTATGTATGTACGTATATATGTATATATTTATTTTTTCATTAAATTAAAATTTATATCTATTGTATAATGCCAAAAATTTTGGAAGGCATTACTTTGCAATCTTATAAAAACAATTATATGTACATATGTATAAAACAAATAACGTTATAAATTAAAAATTAGACATTCTAAAAATTTTTAAAACTTACATCATCTATTGTAATCGTAGCATGTGGACTATTATCTTTGTTATATTGAACAACATCGGCAAATTGCCCTGCTATTGTTTCAAATAAATTCGATATATCTAAATGATTTTCTATGGATTTTTCAACAGGATCACAAAGTCTAAAAATTGTGTATAAAAAGTATAATTTATAACAATTTGCAAAAACAATTGAATTAGTAAAACTAACTTAAACTGTTCATCTAATGTTCTTTGTCCAATCATATGTTTCAATAAAATCTCAATTTGTTGGAATGATCGTTGAACAGCGGTTACACATTTTGGAGAATAATTTCCCAATGAAGTAACAACCACATCGAAGTATTCTAAAATGGATAATTTAAAATGTTAAATATTTTAAATTTTTGAAACATTCATAAAACTGAAAAAATATTTCAGGAATTAATAAATTTACCATAAAAATCAACTTTGGCTAATAATGGCCCACTAGAGCTAATAGCACCATGAATTAAATGAGGATATTTTAAACGTAACCACGCAGCTAAAGAGCCGGGATATGAGCCACCAAAAGCAATCCATTTTGTTTCATAAGGCAAATGATATTTGTCATTCATGGCGGTTATAAAATAGGCCAAGTCGGCTAACGCTTGTTCTGATGATAAATACTTTAAATTTTTAGTGGATATGTCACTGAAATGAGAAAAAAACTTTTATTTTTTAAAGATAAGTAGCTATTACCAAAAAAACATACATATACAAACAGCTTATTTCATTTTTAAGGTTTTTATACTGCAGTACTACGGTACTTAGCTAAATATTTTTACCCAAAATAATAGTTTTAAAGCAAAATTTTTATAGTAATTATTAATTTCTTAATTATTATTGGTTGTTAATTTTAATAAACTTTTTAAACGTATGTTGAACAGAACGTACATATGTAGGTCCTTCCTGCCTACCTATTTATTATCAGTACATAATAGATTTTATTTTACCAACAATAAAATATGTAAATGTCTCCTTAACTAAAATTTTAATTTTAGATTCTAATATTAATAAAATTAACTCAAATTAAAAAATTAAATAAATTTTCACTAAAAAATTTACTAACAATTTTAAAAGAAATTTTAGTTAATTAAAATTTGTATATACATACATATGTATATACATATGTATATACATTCATATGTTTCTTATCTGTTATTTTTCTCTCTAAACTAACGTGTATCTGACTACACTTTTACCAGTTTACCTTGTCGGGTGACTTTTTCCATAAAATCTGTGCTCAAGTTGGAAACATAATGCGTTTGTCTTATTAGCATATCTTATCCAGGCTCCCTCAATCATCCACTTTGGCAATGCCTCACCTTCTCCTCCAATCATTAAAAATACAGGTCCTCCTGGTTTATAAAATTCTTTATTTATGTAAAATCGCTATAATCAAAATAAGTCATAATTGGTATGTGTACATACAAGGTACATACATATGTATACATTAGGTTCAATTTTTTTAAAAACTACCTGTTTTTAGGTAGTTTTTTTAAAAAAAAAAAAAAACTACCTGTTTCCAAGTTTTATCATTTGTGGGATCGAAATGATCCAATATTTGTTCGAACCACTGATCTTTTGGTAATTCTCTTCGTGTTAGTATATTTCTACTTGGTTCTCCCAAAAAAATCCCACTCTTCCGTCCTCTAAAAAATCGCCGCCAACCATTTGTTTGATATATGCAAACAGCAAGTATCAATAAAATAAAACATTTTTTCATTCTAATATTTTTTTTTAAATTAATTGCTAATGAAGAGAAAAATAAGACTGAAGACTGAAACGATAATTTTTCATTTTTATAACATCAACAGCAAAACATAATCGTAAATAAATAAAGTATCGTAAAATTCCCTTTAAGTTTTTTATACATAAATATAAAAAATTTTAATTTTTGTTGAATTTTTGATATTTATTTTCAGCTCACATATTGTGTACTCGTATGATTTCAAATTATTTTATGTAAAAGCCAACTGTATTATTACAACTGGATTTCTTTTTTCTATTATTGGCAGAAATATAAATGAATGCAAAAGTGTATGGATGTATGTAAGAATAGGAAGATGCATTATATAGAGAATGCACACACTCATCTGATCAGTTTCAATTTACTCACAATCAATAAATATGTCAAATTATTCACAATAATATGTATGTAATTTTTTAACATAAAATTTCCTTTTAAGATCCAAAATTTAAATAGATTTTTTCTTGGTACTTATGCAAATACGCATACGTGCGACACATGCATACACAAAGACGCTTCTTATAGGATCGTCAACCTCACATTGGACACGAAAAATTTTTTACCTACTTACAGAAGTTTACATAAAGCGCTTAATATTGTAATTTGTACATGCTTGCTATTATTTTACAAAATTATTTTCCCGATCTGCTATTCTTTATCTCTCGCCTGTTTTACTTATTTTCATTTTAAAAGGCTTTTAAACTCTTATAGATGCATATGAACATATGTATGTATATATTTCTATTCGGCTATAATAGCCAATTAATATATGTATAAATGTATACATATATGAACGTATATATGCATGTATAGTACATACAATATATTACATTACAATTTGATGAAGATAATTGGTATGTGGATTGTATTATAAGTACACATTATAATATGTACATACATATGTATATTTATATGTATTATGTATGTATTCTAACATAAAATGAATTCAAGTGTATTCAGTTTGTTATATGGGTTATCTGAACATTTGGATCGTTTTGATCTTTTTAAATTTTTTAGGTTTATTTTAAATAAATAAAAACAATAGATTATCTACAATACGTATTAATATTTACTTTTTAGGAAAATAAATTTTTCTCTTTAACAAATATGCAATAATCTATGGGTAATTAACAATAATTGCTATTTTTAAAACTAGATTTTAGTGCTTCCTTTATCAGTGCAAATAGAGCTAAATTCCCACTTACAAAGAATTTATAAATTAATAAATTTGAGTTGGAAATATAATGTTTATCTGATTAGCATTAGCATTTTTTATCCAAGTTCCCTCAATCAACCACTTTGGCAAGTCTTCTCAACTAAATAATAATAATGCATGCATGTAAGGTACATATATATATGTATACATATAAAATATTGATTGTGTACATACACATGAGCTTGATTCTGTATCTCACTTTTTTATTCACTTTCAATTGGATTCATTTCTTTCATTTTTTCAATTGGACTTTTGCATTTTTTCTCAAATTGTCGATTGAACATCTCACTTTCAAAAGCAAAATGAATAAATTTTGAATGCATCTAGAAAAAAACGAGATAAGCAATACCAAATAATTCTCCTCACTCGAAAATTATTTCATACAAGTATATGTATGTTATTTACTCACTTTCTTCTCACTTTCCGAGTAAAATAGCGAGATAGACAATCAGGCCCATAATTACTGGTCTGTCCGGTATAACAAAGTTTTTTTAAAGCTTTAAGAAAGTAAGTATGCAAAGCATCTAGTATATTTTTTGAGAAAAATGAGAGAACAGGATGACGTCATAATTTTCTTATTGTTTAAAGTCTTTTCAAGTTTTGTAAAGCAAAATTTAGGATTTTAAAAACTTTCAAAATCATAAAGTTGTCAAAACATATGCTCGTCATTATGTGTGTACTGTTTATGTGTGATAATATTTTGAAATTTGACGTTTTACGTATTTTATAAAAGTTTTAAGTTTTTTCAATTTTTCCGTCTTGTTTATTTTTTTCTTTGCCAGAATTGATATCACTTTTTACTCTTTTTAATGTTTTTTCAAATTTTATACCTACCACACAGACTTAGTATTATGTAGCTCACATAAAAAACCGGAAGTTCAAACTCTTTGACTAAATATTTTTTATTAATATATTTTTTTTTGTTTAAAAACCGTAATTTGAGATAATTTACCGGTCCAAAAACCTTTTCTCGAGACGCAAACAAATTTCGTGAAAACCGGGACGTCTGGAAACCCTATAAACAGTTATTTATATACATATATACATACATTATAATATAATAGAAATGTGTATGGAATTTAGAACCATAAGTTTTTCAGTTCTAAAAATTTTTTCAAATTTGCATTTTCGCAGTAAATTTGAAATTTATTATTTTAACTGGTATTTTAAATCGTTAATTATTTTATAATATTCTTAAGATCAAACGTACGTGGGGGCATACATATGTTTATATTTAAATCAACGGCAAAAACATATTATGAACCTTTCTGTAATTTACTTATTTTAACATACATAATGTATGTACATAATTTATATTTTTTATATGTATGTAAAAAACCTCCTAATTGTTTTCAAGCCTTTCATTTTAAGCCTTTTTGTATTAAATCTTATTTTCATTTTTAAATTAAGAAAAAGATATGTGTATGTATGTACATATATTGTATAGAATTCCTTATGTTCAATATATTAACATACATACCTATAAACGTATAATTTAAAAGTACCTATAATCTAATTTTCTGTATTATTTTGTTTTGATAAACTTGATATATTATACTTTCAATATTTGTTTTTTTTTTCAGAATTTTAATAACACATTCGCAGAATATCAGAAGGAATGAACATTTTAAGGAAATTATGTTTCCTACCTATCTAGGAATACAAATAAAATAGGTATCTAGGTGCTTACATAAATGTTTTCTTTAAAATTATTTGTTGTTAAAATTGATTATTAATTTTTATACTATCCTTCCAAATTCAACAGCAGACAGTAAAGTCCAGAACTACAAATCTTCTCTTTTTTACTTCGAATTTTGAATTATCTATTTCATGGTATTTTGCAACAAAACGAGATATATATAGAGGTATAGAAGAATTAAATAGAAATTAAAGCATTAAAACTGATTAATTTTCGATTAATCGGTAAAGTAAACGCGTAATCACTGCGAATAACACAAATTTCCTCTTTACAAATTACAATTATTATAATACTTTCCAGTACCCAATGTATTTTATTTATAATTAATTTTAATCAATAACTAAAACAACTTTTGTGTAAATAAGTAGGTACATTTATTTCAAAATATTAATCAGTAAATATTTTCCATGTTCCATTTTATTGTACTTTATAACTAAATTAGATAATTCGAATTTACCGAAATGAAAGCTAAGTTCAATTTTAGTAAAATTAATGCAAGAGAAAATATGAGATTTCATATAAAATTAAATACGAATATTAAATGAAATTGGTGTTACTTTGATTAACTCCAACGTTAAAAACATAAAAGTACATAAATGTGCATGTACATTTATCACATGTATTTTTAATATACGTTCTCTAACATATGTTTATTTTATTGTTCACACAAACATATGTTTGTTTGAGTGTTTTTAGAAATTTGAGAATCTAAATTGGTTCTAGACTGCTCTTTGTCGTGTTGGTTGGAAATTTTGTCTACCGTATATTTAATTTTTCCTAGCATCTTCAATTTTGTTCTGCAAACGTGCCCAATACTGCTTAGTTTTCGGATGATTCATAATAGTTTGGATTATTTTGATTGTCCAACATATGATAGTTTTTGATATATCTAAAACAAAACCCAATATTTTAAAAAAATACTTTTGAAGTTGATCTCCCGATGGTAATTCCGTAGGTAAATTAGATTTGTATCTCACGATAGTTGTTGATGGTAATTCGGCTACATATCTGTTTTGTAAGTTATCTAAAGATGTGACTAGTAATATAAATTTAATTAGTAAATATTATACAAATATTTATGTTGAAATAACTTAAAACATATCAATTAAATTTTTACCCGAGACTTTTCTATTTAAGACATTCGTATGGTTTTTATTTGCCAAAAATCTTGTAATATTATCATTGCAATTCATCGAGTAAAACTGATTTCTATTGAGTAATGAAAGAATTGGTGCAGCATTGTAATTGCTAGTTTGTCGGTAAATGCCTGCAAAAATTCTGGTAGACAGCATCCTTTTTTGAAATTTTCGTTTTTTTTTTCTATAAGTGACAACAAATAAGTTAATAATTGCTTTATTTACCAGTTTTATATCAAAAATATGATCTCATACCTTAGAAATAATTTTTATTAAACTTAAATTTTTTATTCTGACTTTCAATTGACAGCAGAGGAGTTAACTCAAAATTTTTAGTACCTTTGTTAAAATAAAGAGAATATTTCCATGTCAGGTCCATACAAAAATTTTATTATCCCAGATGTTTTGATCAAAAATTTTTTAATTAAATTTTAAATCAAATATAGATATAATATATATTATGTCAGAAAATTTATCAAATAAATACGTTCTGATGTACTTTTTCTTTACTTTTCTTTAAATTCAAGTACTTGTTTTACTTGCAAAAAATTCGTATCAAAATTTTCTACGAATTTGAACATGGCGATTGTTGAGGAGGCCATTCCTCCTGTTTACACAATCTCATACCTTTCCAAAGTCATTGCCTCTCATACCTTTCCAAATTATATACCCGAATTTATTTTGTAATTATTAATAACAAAAAATTCCCTCACAAGACAAAAATATAAAAATAATAATTCAAAATTGTATTTTAAATCAGCTGATTTTCCACTACGTTCATTTATAACAAATCGAAGAAGAAAAATCGAGCAAGAAGGAAATTGCTCTTTCTAAAATGAGACTACTTTTTTCAGTCAATATATTTTAATATTTACGATAAAGCATGAAATCCAAATGTTATATAAAATTAAAAATATAAGAAATTTTACAAAATATATTCATTTCAAGTTTTCAAAGCCGTATAAAATATTGTGATATTTTGCTGCTCTTGATGAAATTAATTTACAAAATAAATTAGGTTTAAAAAATTTGTTTTGTTTTTTACTGATGTGCTACGAATACAACGTGCTTAATTATGCAAATTTGCAGACACAACTTTAAAAACTTTAAATCTTTAAGTCTTTTCAAAACTTTAAAAAGAGAAAAATGTGACGTCACTTATCTCAAAGTGAAAAATAATTCTAATTACAAAAACCAGACGGAAAAGTTGAAGAAACTTTGTAAAGTAGGTAATAAACGTCTAATACCAAAATATATCAACCACAAAAATATTTTTTAGTTGTACAAAAAAGCGGAAATTTTGATTTTTGATTATAAAACTGTGAAAGTTAGAAAAACCAAACATGTCGAGAAAAGAATAAATTTTAAATTCAATTGTTGCAAATTTATCCATTTTATCAACAATAAAACTTTCTAATATAATTAAGAAAAACAAATGTTTTGACAGCTTTATGCTTTTAAAAGTTTTTAAAACACTAAATTTTACTTAACAAAACTTTAAAAGACTATAAACATCGAGAAAATGATAACATCATTATTTTATCTCATTTTTGCTTAAAAGTATTTGAAAGGGACACCAAGAAAAAAAATAATTTCTTTAATTGCTTAAATTATTTTTTGCATTAGTACATATTTCTTTTATAATTCGTTGGCAGAGAAACTATCTGTAATACGTACGGTCGTGATTACTTTGTGGTAGTGAACAAACTTATGATTTAGATTTAATGACAAATTCAAATTAATTGTCAAAGCCAAAGTTGTTTAGTTACGATCTGGTTGCGAATTGCAAAATTTGTTTTAAAATTGTAAAAGTAAATGGGTAAGAATTACGAAAATGATTTGCTTTTTGTGTCTTAAAAAAAGCGAAGCTCTTATAAATATATACGACGGCTTAGAAGAAGGCTTTATATCATTAAATATACCAAATATTATTGAGAAGCACGTTTGTTTTAAGGTGAAGTGTGTTTTTTTGTAATTATATTTAGGGTAAGAATAGTAATAATTAGCTTTTAACATTTTAGCCCGATAAAGAAAATCCAATGTTGTGTAAAAACTGTTGGCTGATTATAGAATCCTTCTATATATTTTGTTTAAATATAAAAAAAGCTCATAATGGGGAAGAGGAAAGGAAAAGTGAATATGATATTAAACCTGAATTAAAATGTGAAGTGGAAGAAGCCATTTCAAGCGATCACTTAAGTTCAATCTGTGATAATGAAGATACTTCTTTCTGTGTCAAAAATGAAGATGATGTTATTAGAAATGTAGAGAAAATTTCAAGGTGCAGATTAAGCAGACAATGTAAAAACAAGTTATTAACCAAAAATGAAATAATAAATGTCCATAATGGAAACGAAATAGAAAAAGAAAAATTAAATGCGAGTAGCAGAGAAGAGCTTTTTATAAAAGATGTGGAAAAACAGAATGTCGACAGCAAAGATGTTTCAACAAAGAAAAGAAAAAGAAGCACGGTTGTAAGAAACGCTGACGCAGTTGACCAAAAAATTTCCAAATATATGACATTATCATGTGATATTTGTGGGGAGCAATCACCCACTTTAGCCGCACTCAAATCCCACTTCCGTCTCATTCATCAAGAAAATGGGTATGCGGTATGTTGTAATCGAAAATTCAAAAAGCGATATTTACTCATAGACCACATTGATTGCCATTTAAATCCGGACCATTTCAAGTTGGTATTTCATTTTTTAAAGATACAGAACTTAGAGCTATTAAAATAATTTTTAGGTGCGGATTATGTGATAAAACTTTCAGTGTAGCAGATTCTTTAAGGAATCATATGAGGGATATTCACGAAGCTAGAGAAAGAGTATTAGTTCAGTGTGATCAATGTCCTAAAAAGTTTATTCGGAAATCAATTTTATTAAGGCATAAAGCTTACCACTTGCCAGTTGAAACATGGGCATTTCCATGTGATGAATGTGGGAAAATGTAAGATAATGACTTAAAACAATATACTTACGTTTAAATATTTTAAAACATTTTTTTTTGTATAGATTTCCAAGTAAGTTCTACCTTAGGTCACACAAAAGTTTCTCTCATAATAGTCTACCGACGAAAATATGCTACATCTGCGGTAAACCGGTTCCGACAAGCCGATATAAGAAGCATATGAGATCCCATGACTCTAAAAATGAGGAAGAAAAAGTTGAATGTGAAATATGTAAAGCAAAATTGAATAAAAAATATATTAAAGTGCATAGGTTTGTGAAACTAAGACAGTTCATTCAAATTTAGTAAATATTTTAAACTATTTTTAATCAAAGGCAGCATCACGAGGAAGCGGAAAAAGAAGATTTTTTTTGTCCAATTTGTAATCATAAATCTCCCAATCGTAGGGCATTGTACATTCATACACGATACACACATGCAGATCAGCGAAATCATGAATGTCACATTTGTCAAAAGAAGTTTAAAAGAAAATTAGCCTTAAGGGTATGTACGAGTATAATGAGTTCAAATTAGTATCAAAAACCTTATATGTACATTTCATTATTTTTCCAGCAACATATGGGAACTCATACTGGTAACAACTTGTATTCATGTCCTTATTGCCCAAAAACTTTTACATATGATTCAAATTTTTATATTCATAAGAAAAAGGAACATCCAAAAGAAATCGAAATTGAAAGACAAAGGCAAACTAGGACAAATTTCACTGAACACAAAAGTAAATCTGAACCAGCTCAAAAAGTTGAGGAATTCAATATTATAAATGAAGATTCAATAACTTTTGAGGACATTAAAATTGAAAATTTTGATGAATTCAATAGCATGGAGTAACTTTAACAGTTCGTTCAAAAAATTTATGTAGCATATGTATATTTAAATTGAAAATAACTTAGAAATACTTCAAAGCGTGTACATGTTACACACATTGATCATAAGTTTTTTAGAGCATGCTTACAATATGTACATACATACACGTAAAAATATATATATATGACAAGTGTTTTATTTAGTCAATTTTTCTAATTTCTTCTTTCAATGAAGTGCCTAATACCGCTGTCTGATCAATAAAAATAAATTAAATTTTGTTAAAATATTAAAGCCAGAAAGTTTTTGCTTTTAACTTTTGGTAACATCTTAAATTATAAAACTTGATTTTTAAGCATCTTTTCAAACTATTTTTCTTATTTTTGAGAAAATATAAACATGCTTATTTATTTGTATATTAAACACATATCATTTAATTGATTGTATACAATTTAATATGACTAAAAGAATAAAATTGATTTTCATTTTATTTCTACAAAGTTTTCAATTCGTTTCATATATAATAAATACATATGTATATAATATATTATAGCCTTTTATTTACCTTTTATATACCCTTGTTTAGCAACTAATGAATATATTCTTTTTGTGTTACTCACTGTGATCTTTACACATATGTAAAGATACCAAACCTTTTTGCTGCAGTTACAGACGTATTTCTTTTAGTTCTATCTGAAGTACGTTGTACATACCACATAAAATTCTATAGGTATATGTATAACGAATTTTTCATGTATATCTAAGTATATAAACTTAAATTTATTTAAAAAAAGTATTATAAGAAAATCTGTGAAGATTTCAAAAAACTAAAAAACGAAGAAAAGATGCAAAAATTGTTTTTTAACTTTTTTTATTTTACATTAAAGGTAATTAAAAATTCGCCTTGAAGAGGCTGAAAATTCACCTGCCACTCGACAACATTTTCCATATTTACAATTTTTGTTTGAGGGGTAAAATGCACTCCTTGTTTTGTAAACATATCCCAAGAAATATATTCTCCAACTTGAATGGGGCTAGTTGGTCCTGTTGAAATTATACCTTTGTTTGTTTTATTATCGATATACCAATCAATCCAACACACAATACCATTGCATTCACCTGAACTAAAAATTTAAGCTTATAGGTAGGTACTTATTATTATAAAGATAAATTTAGCTAGCCTACTATTTAATAGGTATTGATCCGTGGTTTTGAAGAGGCTTCATGAAGTTACCGAAATCAATTGATAAAATTGTTTCCTGTTCCGATAAAGCTTTGCATGGATATTCCCACATTGGCTGAGCTTCAATATTTGCATCCGCTTTTTTCATAGAATCCTGCAAAGTTATACAAACGGTTTATATTAAGTTTATACTTATTTAGTTTTTCTAGAAGGTCCTACATTTATTAAGGAATCAAAAATATTCATGTTAAATCCTTCACAAATTTTAACCGGCGCACGTATCTTATGTAAGTCTAATAACTCAACAGGTATAACCACAATATTAGCTTTAATTGGTATGTATTTGACTTCCTGTTTTAGTCTTTCTTTGAGCTTTATTAAAATGATTCCGAAATAAAAATTGTCCCAAGGTAATATTGAAGTAGTAAAACTGGGTTCAGCGACTACATGTGTTACTTGTTCGATATCTTCTATTTCATCAATATCGTTTATCATTTTTACATTTTTTAAGTTGTTGTAATCAACATACAGTTCAATAGCTTTTCGTGATATATTGTTGGGCTCAAAACAAAAAAGTTTTTTCGCTCCTAATGCTATAGTCGATAGTCCTAGAAGTGATCCCTCACTTAATGAAACAACTACGGAATTTTTATCGATTTCGTTTTCCAAAATAGATAAATATTTCTTGTTTCTCAAACTGTTGTTAATTTGTCCTATTCTGTTTCGAGAATATGCTAAATGAAAGCCGCATGTGCAATTTGGGCGATCTAAAACATTGTCTGTACACTCATTATTAATATCAAACCAAAATGAATATTCGTCATGATAAGCACTTAAATAAAATGGTTTATTTTTATGTAAAATCAAATTTTTCGGTAAATAATAAACTCCTTGAATCCAGTGGTCGCGCCACGGTATGCAATTTTGTATAGGTTTTTTCTCATTATTTTTGTTTTTAGAGTTTTCTTCAAAATCAGGGTGAGCCCAGTAAGGTGCGCAACTTAAAATTACTTCACCATCAATGTCCATTTTTAATTCCCACCAAAAAAATACTACTTGAGAGCTTCCGTTATTTATTATTTCTATTTTATTATTGCTAATCTCATCACATTTCAGTGCAACTTTTGAATTGAAATCAAATGAAAATATTTCAACAGGTTTGCTTAGCAATTTGTAGTCCGCAAATTTTAGCTGACTTAGTTGTATATCATGTACAGATGCTTCCCCAGTGCAATTCTCAATTATTTTTGGAGTTTTTAATAATACATTTCCATCTAAATCAGCTAAAATTTTAGGACTTTTAAAAGAAGAAACGAGTGGACTCTCAGCAATTTGAGCATAAATTTTAGAAGAATTTGGAATAACTATACAATCATCTGTTAATAAATTCGCATGTGCATGGTTAAATATTCCGATTGCGCCTTCTCCTATTAATTCCGTATCAAAAATTTCAGTTATTAGAATATTGCACCTTGTGGGCATATCTGAGTCCTCTGTATTGCCAACAATAATTTCGGTAGATCTCTTCTTAATCAAATTAATTTCACTTTTCATTCCATTACTTTGAATAATTTTTTCAGCGCAGTTCGCCATCGGCATAAAAGCCTCACAAGCGAAAACACTATCTGCTCCACATTTTACAGCCATCATAGATAAAAGACCAGTTCCGGTTCCTATATCAAGAACGTTTGCTTTTTTACCAGATTGGTGGAGTTTTTTAATAGTTTTATCCAAAGCATAAAAATATTTTTTGTTTCTTTCGTCGTCATGAAGCATATCAGCAAAGGCTGCACGTGCTACGTCCTAAAATAAATAACATAATTTGTCTTCACTTTTTTCATTACATTTGCAGACCTGGTGATAATCGTAATATTCATCTTGAAGTAGCCATCCATTTTCCCCAGTAATCGGATTTAAAATTTGTTTATAAATACTCATTATAACCTTTCCAACTTTAAAAGAATTCGTCAATTTGGAGCTCAATTTCATAAATATTGAGTTTTCTTTTTATTTTTTACCAATGATAATACACATAATATTACGTACATACATACATACGTATACATTTTGTTTACCAATTTCTCAACATTACGTTTATCGGAAGGCTGAGTTCATAATTGCAGCAACTGCGTTTTGCTGTTGTTATGTACATTAAAATATATACATACATGACAAACCTATTTTATGAAGAATTATAAGCAATTATTATGTTACCTTTTGAAATGCCAGTGGTGTTCAGCAGACCCTGTGAATTTTTATACCATGATTTTGGTGCTGGCTCATTGAAATATTAAAGGTGTAGGCAGACATGCAATTTTTTGTTTTGCAACAGTTTGGGCTCAGATTGACATGCAATTTTTAATTTTGCACTGTTTAATTGCTTATTTGTGTTCCACAGGTTTATGTTCAAGCGCACATGCATGCAATTAAGGATACAAAAACCGTTTGTAATTGTTAGTTAACGCAGCCGATTTAAATAGACGCAATAGTTAAATTGAGTAAATGTGCTCCCAACGATTTTACAATAAAGCAGCAATTGCAATATTGAAATTTGCCGGTACCGGTTTAAAATGTATCTAAAGGAAAAACGAAAATTTACAATACTTTATAAAATAAAGGCAGGTAATCAAAATATTTTTACACCATAAAATATTTTTAAACTACTGCACTTTTACAATTTGAAACGTTTTACTTGGCCCTTTTTAGAAATGTCACATGATTATCAAATGACTTTTGCAAACAACTGTTGCAGTTTCTCTGTCATTTGACAAAAACCGTTTGTTATTTTTAATTTTAAACGTCATTTGATATTATAATTAAAAGTATTTTTTTAAAAATTTCCACTATAAATAAGTTTAAATAATTTTTGCTAAATACAAAAATTAAACAAAATACTTACCTTAAGTCACTATCAACATTTTCATTTGATTCTGAAGACCAATTATCGTCGCTCATTTTTAAATATATTTTTAAAATGCAAAAATGACTAAATCAATTTTGACATACATGACTTTTTTGAAATGAGTAGCAATTACAAAATTAAATTCACGGTAGAGTTTTTAAAATAATGACAGATTTCATTTGATCACCATGTAAAATTTTCAAAAAGGACCATTGTTGAAAGTTTTTTGTATCCCATATGAAATTTGAAACTTTATAATGGAAACGTTTTTACAATATGGAACTGAAAAATATTTTAAAGCTTTTCTTGGGTACTATTTACATAAAAGACAAAATCTAAGATTCACTATACGATAAAGTCTGATAGCTATTTTATATTAGATTGAAATTGTCTCGGACGGATTGGCGGATCGCTGCTCAGATCTGACAGTAAATCTGATAAGGATAAAGTAATTTCCCTTAAGTTCGGTATGTAACATGAAATCTCATGTCAAACAGAGTTTACATTACATATTATGATTTATGACATGACTTTCATCAAACTCTGGTTAAATCGTAGATTTTGTCGTATATGCAAACAGTAAATTACAAGTTTTTGGCAACTATTAGTTTACATTATTGAGCGTTTATTACATATAATGTACATTTATTTATTTTTTCAAATAAAAAATTCAACCAGTATAAAACTTTATTGGTAATTTTCAAATGAAATGTTTTAGACTAGAATATTCTTGGATTTAATAAACGAAGCGTCATAATTGAGATCGAAATGTTTGAATGTACATGCAATGTGTCGATAAATCAATCACTAAAATCAGCAAATTATTGTAAAAAAACTCCAAATCCGTTTCTTTATAACTTTTAAATAAAATCTGTACATTTAGAAAATTACAATTTTTTTAAATATACATACATATGTATTAATAATTATGATACAGACCCGTACATACGAATGCATGTACAGATGTTAGAAAATAAAATTAACCTCGTTTTGACTTTTTATTACGTTTCTCTTTAACTGCTGTAGCCCGTTTATCTTTTTTCATTCTTGGATCTACTACCTTAAAACGGCCCTTAACACCAGGTGGGCGACGAACTCTCTTTCCAGCTAAGTGCTTTTTAGATACAACATAAGTTATTTCTTTCTTTTTCTCTTCTGCCTTTTTGTATAGTTTGCGAATTTGACGTATTTTGTCTCTAGCTGTTCCATCATCATTTTCTAAAATTTGTTCAGCCTTCTTTTTAGCTTTTTCTAGCCTTTTTTTTGCACGTCTCTTTTTTCTTGCTTTTGCTTCCATCACTTTTTTAATAGGTCGAATATTCAGCTCTTGAACCTTTTTCTTGTACTCGTCTGCAATTTCAGGTGGTACAGGCAAAAGCGTACGCATATGCTGCTCCTCATCTTGTCGAAACCACTCCGGTAAATTCTCATCATTGAATGTGTATCGGTTCCAAGCAGCATCGATCAAGTCTCGACGCGTTTTCTTGCCTTTAATTAGCATTGAACCAAGGGCTAATTCTTCTTCATTTAATCTAATTTTTTTTTCTGAAATTTATAAGAATGAATTTGAAATTTTATTCTTTTATTGTCTGCTTCACTTACGTTTTGGAATTCCTTTATCTATTACGTCATCCTTAACTGTTTCATTTTCTGATTCACTACTTTCACCGGAAGATGAATCCGACATCAGAGGATTATGACGGGCTTTTCGTTTTGCTTTTTTGCCCAAAGGAATTTTTGACTCGTTTTCAATAGTATTTTTATCTTTTGATAAAACTTCTACACCTTTCGATTTAAACTCATGAGCTAAAGTGTTCAAGTCATGTTCCTCATCTTCAGATTCTGCTACATTCAAATTGTCTTTTTCGTACCACAACTGCACTCGATGTTGTCGTCTGGTGTCTTTATCTCTATAATCGCATGATTTTATTAAGGGATTTAATTCTTTTTTCTTTTTTTTTGTTTTGTTTATTCTCAGCTTTTTATTTTCGTCTTCATCTTCGCTCAGACCCAAACCTGTTTCATCATAGTTACTTTCTTCTGAAGAAATTGATTCATTTTCGTCATCTGTAGCGTTTTTTGAATTTACATTCCCGTCATCATCAAGATGAGATTCTTCTTTTTGATACCTAGAGCAATAAAATAAATACAAAAATTTCATTCATTTGAGCAATGGACATACACCTACTTTTTGTATTTTGGTATGAATCCACCTGCTAACATTTCATCTTCAACAACAAAGTCCGGAGCTATATCTTGTAAGGCGTTTAATTCTTCTTCATTTGTAATATCTTTTAAAACAAATACACCATCATCCCCTTCGTCCCTTGGACCTTCATCTCCTTTTATTACCATTTTTAAATTCATTTTTTCATTTAATTTCGCCCTTTCTTTTAGCATTTTCTTTTTCTTACGTTTCGCCTCTTTTCTTTCTTCTTCAGTTAGTTCAGCAATTTGTTTTTCAAGTTCTTCCATTTCAATTTCCTCTAATTCTTCTACTGTAAACTCTTTTATGGGCGTCGTGTTATCCACTTCTTCAACTTTTTTTTCTTCTTGTTTAAAAAGGTCTGCTCTAACATGCTTATGCCATAATAGCAAACCCTTGATATCTTTGCGACCTAAGACTTTAATATCTTTGCAACATTCTAATATTTCCAAAGTAGTTTTTGGATGATTCTTTACACCTTCATGATTAATCAAAATACTCCCAGCGCCCTGTAAGGCTAATAGAGGATTTTCATTTTCCATAAAATCAATGACTGACATTTCATTTCTTAACGAAACTTCCTTTTCTGTATAACCTTCTGCTTTTATACGTTTTACATTTTCTGGGTGTAACAAAGAAGGTTTTTTGTTATCTAAATCTAATTCTTCAAAAACGTATTTAGGGTCTAGTAATTTTGGATCTATTTTGGTAGGAGCAAGATAACCTTGGCAAACAACAAAAATTTCTGCGGATTCTTTACGTGATGCACTAGGCTTTGTAGCATGAACTTTCTTAAAAAGTTGTTTAAGGACCCACAACAAAGCATTATAATCTTTCGATCGAAATACCTTGGTTACAAACCAACCATTGCTGCGTAAAAAATTTGTTGAAAGTTTTAGAGCTTGAAGAGTCAAACATATTTGTTGATAAGCATCATATAACCAATTTTTACCAACATTCGGCGCCCCATCATGCAAAATAACATCAGCTTTCCAAGTTTTTAGCTCTTTTGAAAGAGAGGTCTTACATTTATCTGTTGTAATGTCTTCAACTAAACTTATACACCCAGTAATTGGCTTAATCGGATATAAATCAACACCAACAACAATGGATGATACTGGCATATTTTGCTTAGCGACCTGCATCCATCCTCCAGGGGCTGCACATAAATCAATACATACCTGAGATTGCTGTAAGAATCCAAATTTTCTATTAAGCTGAATTAATTTAAAAGCCGCACGTGATCTGAACCCTATAATTTATTTTCATTAGCCATAATATTTTTGTTTTCAATATATTTCTTACCAGTTTCCTTGGCTAATTTGTAGAATTTGTCTTTTCTTGTTTTCCCAACTTTTGTTTTTTTACCCATTTTCAAAATATATATAAGTCTATTTTGATATTTTTATTAAAATTAAAAACACTTATTTCATTGAACGTTAATTATATTCTTAACAAAACTACCAAAACTCTTTAAAATCCTTATACTACGTACAAGTAGCCAAAACTTAGAACATGCACGTGTAAAATGACAACTTGTATTTTTTACTTGACATAAAAAAAATGTCAAAAAAGAAGTATTTCTGTCAGCCGTAAGTTTTTAAAACAACTATGCAGACTGCAGTGCAGCACATGATTTTTTTTGCAGATTGAATTTGAGTTAAGTGAAGCTTTTAGTCATTTAGTGTGTTTAACTGACGTTGCAAATCAGTAACATAGACAGGTTCAACTAAAAATTGATTTGCGATAATTTGATTTAACTTAAATTGCGAAGCATAGTAATTAAATATACGCACAGCAGTTTATAAATTCTTGCGTCAAAATTTAAAGTTGAAGTGTTTGAAGAAATTCGTATTTTAATCATATGCCAATATATACATATATACATACATATATAAATATAATGCTGAATTTTTTCTTCTGTACGTCTAATAAAAGTCTTTAAAAACTTCAACATAGTTCGTATATATTATGTACATATGTATGCATTTCTGAAAAAAATTTCGAAATGAAAATTTAAAACTACATATCTAACGTAGATTTTTTTTGAAATTATATTTAAAAAAAAATATGCACAGATTTTATTAAAATTATAAAAATTTGAAATTAACAAAAAATAAAAATTTTTTATTTTTTTACTAAAAACTATGACATAATTTTTTAGAATTTTTTTCTATAAGTTTTCAATTTTTTTACCTTAAATCACAGTGGGGCTACACCAAAAGCTTCACTAGAGACCATCAAAAAAATATAGGTTACAATTTGATTATAAAAAAGAATAAGAATTTTGGTTTTATAATTTTATATCAAAACTGTAACGACTTTTTTTTCTTGACATTTTTATATTGGCTCTCATTTTTTCTCGTTGTTGAAGTCGTTGAAACGACATCACTGATCATTAATAAAAATCATGAACTTACAATTTTCTAAACGTTATGTTTTGTTCGAAATGATTATAATGTACGCAACGTTTACTAATATACACACAAACATATTTATGTATGTACAAACAAAAGTATGATAAGATTAGATTACCAAAAATTGAATATTAAAAACAATTTCTGCCTTATTTAATCACTTTCATTCATAATTTCACTCAATAATTTATTTATTTTTAAAATTTAATTTTTAAGAAAAATTTGGTAGGAATTCGAAATTAGTTTACACAGTTGGGATTTTGGAAGCAATAAAAGTATTGTCTTACACTTACATATATGCACATATGGTATTGAATATGAATAGTGTGCGTGTACGTATTGGATGAATGTATGTATGTATGTAGGTAAGCTATTCAATTTTTTTAAAATTTTTTTAACGCAAAAATTAATAGAAAAGTTTTGATATTTGTAATGAACTGTTTTGATGTATAAATAACGTAAAGATAAAAAGCCGATTATTTTGTGTAAAAAAATTGTATTATATGGATGTATTTATGTATACATATATGAAAATATATACAAAAATTTTTTTGATGTAAGTACATACATATTTGTGAATATTATTTGCCAAAAAATTTCGTTCAAGAAACTATGTAATATTTTACTACTCGTCCACTACGGGGGCACATTTTAAAAACTTTGTACTTTAGAGTATAGCCACGAGTTAGAGTGTGTATAGTGTTTGGTATTTTTAATTTTAATTGCGAAAACGCGTACATGTTTACCTTAAAAAATTTTGTATTAAAAAAAAGACAGAAATTTCATAGCCACAAAACTACAACTTTAGTTTGTTCAAAAGAAAGACGAAACGTAGTATGAAAATTAAAGTCATGAAGGAAGAAAACGAGCAGTATGTAAATACGGATTTACTTTTCTCAACATCTGGCGTTGGACTTAAAAATTTAAGTCGACAATAGAGTTGTACGCTCTATGTCAAAACATTGGGATCCGATCATCTATCTCGCTATTTTACTCGGAAAATGAGGAGAAAATATTCCGATTGTGTATTTCTTTTTTTTTTAAATTGTATGCAAAAGTTTTTCACTTTGTTCAGTCGATAATTTGAAAACAAAATGCAAAAATCCAAATAAAAAAATGAGTAATTTCATTTGAAAAGTGAAATATTCATTAGAAAATACCTATTAATTCTGATCTGAAAGTGAATAAAAAGTGAGTAAAAAAGTGACATATGATCAGGCTGTTAATTTTAAATACACATTTGAGAGTTGCTAATAGCTGCGTTCACACCATGACTTTAACGTCAATGATTAACGCACGTTTAATTTTCCCTTGTCTACAAACATAAAGTAATTTCAACGTGACAACTCTTTTGGTCGGTTATCGTCATTTCGACATGGAGTTTTCGAAAAGCTGCCCAATTATTTTTTAAGAAAAATTTGATAAAAAAAAGGAATATGAAAATTGAGAGAAATAGGTGAAAAAAAAATTTAATTTTGAGTTAATTCTCTTGTTTACAAAAAAAGTACGCGTCCATACGAATTATAAAGCACATAGAAATTAATATTTGCATGGAAATGTATTATTAGATTTTGCAATTATTATCTAGGTTTTAATACGCGTACATATGCAACTAAACTTATATCAATGCAAAGGGCACGTATGCAAATACATATCTCAGTAAAAAATGGCGCAATCAGTTCGTAAAATTTTACACACGCATATATTTCAATAATTTTACACACGCAACAAGCATACATTTCAAAAGGTGCGCGTTTTAACCGAAACTAATAAAAGCAATCAAACAAATGCAAAATAAAATTGACATGTAAGGTAAATGGACGCAGTATGCACCAGGCGGTTGTCAGAAAAATGACTGCACTACTGCGTTTATATGCATTGAATATTGCACATTAACGCTTCAATATTGATATTGACTCATATAAACGGTACTTAACTTGAAATGTTCAAGTCAAGTCAGTTCGATAAAAATATCAGTTTGACTAGAAAATCGTCTGCATATACGCGAATTGACAGAATGATTCCAGTAATATAATATAATATAATGGTTGTCAGTTATTGTCAAACGAAAGTCGATTTCTAGAAAAATTATTTCAAGCTATACAGTATATACGGCAACATTGTTGCGTAGCGGGCGAATATACAATATATACATCCGGATACATATAAAGTTTGAGGGCCCTATTACTCAAAAAATAACAAGTTTTTGAAAAAAATATAAGAATAAAAAAATGTCTACAATGCACGCAGCGGGTACTTGTACCCGGCCGCTTATAAGTGACAATCCACACAAGCGGGTACTAGTACCCGACCCGCTCATGATGTGTTAAGTTGTTGATTTTGATTACGGTCGTTTTTGATCAAAAGCCAAATAAAATATTAGTCACGGAATTTTCGCATGAAAACAAGTTTAATTATGATATAAAGTAAGTCTGTATACATAAAAAATATAGTTTTTTTTTGGAGTATACTGTTATAATTATGTATGTAACGAAAATTCGGCGATCGTGAAAATTGTGTTTTGAAAACCGTCAAAATGAACAAAGCAGTTCCACTTTAAATAAATATTACTGGAATAAAAATGCGGATGCTGCATCGAGTTTGAATTTCTAACTTTAAACGTGCAATGTTTGTTGAAAATTTCTTTTGAGAATTATTTTTGACGTTTTATACTATCATAGTCTTATAATAATAATAATGATATTCTGCACGCGGTACGAGTATTAAATTTTGGTATGTCGCAACGGTAGTACTGCAATTTTGATTACGGCTTCGGAACTAATCGGTTTCACCTTCAACATATTTTTTTTCAACTTATAAATTAGAAACAAAAAGCTTTTTCCTGTTAGCTATAGCTAAATTAGTTGTGTGAAATAATATTATTTTACCTCTGGCTTTGACAACTTTCCATTTTCGACTATTGCATAATTTTGTCAACAACAAAAATCTGTTAGCCACCAACATAGACGGTCTTGTGCTTCTATTGTTTGTCTTGTAATTTAGAAGACTTCTGAAACTTTCGCGAATTTGGTGATCTGGTAATACTGTCCTTGACTTTTAGAATGTAGGATTGAGAACAATAATTTTTAATTCGCTTGCAAAAAAAAGTTTGCGAAAAAAGTAAAAAATGTATAAGCTAAAGCAGTTAACAAAATTAATTTCAAGTTGAAGTACAATTCTTAAAACACAATTTAAAAGTAATTTAAATGTACAATAGTTACTTTAAAACAAGAAGTTATCCTGATCCTGTGCTTAAGGACATATTCTTCATCCGGTATTCTTGTCTTTCAATACCTTTTATGAAAATATCTCACATTACTTAAAATATCGCACAAAAAGGAAAAAAAAATTCAACATTTAATATTTTGTTTTAAACATTTTTCGTTTGACGATTTTAGTTGAATTTTTATGTATTTGGCAAAACAAAATGGGGAAACATTCTCTTAAAGCAGCATCTTTATCGTTTTCAAAGAGCGGAATTGCGGCTCAACCATTGCTGTGTAATGAAAAGAACTATGAACGGAATGAGGAACAGCATTCTCTAAGTACGAAATCAAATAGACATCAAATTCACCGCCGAGCAAGGCGTTTAGTTCGAATTTTTCTAATATCACTTGGAATTTCAAGTCTTTGTTTTTTCTTGTACGTGTATATTCCTATATTAAGCGCCATCCATTCAAGATCTAGTAAGTATACCATATATATGCATATAAACATATAATAAATGTAACAAACTTGAGTATTTAACTAGTCAAATTAATATTTTTAGTGTCGATTAGCGGTTGGGGCTATAACACTTCCAAAGATACTGCAAATTATGTTTACCCAAATAGAGATACTACACTTATTAATCCTAGTAACGTTTGTTCAAACAATTTCTTTTTGTTAATTGTGGTTACTTCATCAATAACAAACTTTGCTGAAAGGTTATTTTGCGAGAATATCAATAATAATATATTCCAATACAGTTTTAAACTTTCAGATTAACTATTCGGGAAACTTGGGGTAATGTAACAGAATTTAATTATCCAATGTTTTCTGAAATGCACTCTAACAATGCTGGTGGATACTTAAATGTAAAGGAAATGGTTGTAAGAATGCATGCAGATCACCTGAATTTACCCAATGTATTAAAAAACAATTTTAAGCAATACAATATAAATTTAATTGATATATGTATTATAATATTCATTTTAGGTTACTAATATAAGCAATTTTACTGAGCTTATAAATAATACGACAATACCAGTAAAAGTTGTATTTTTAATTGGACGTGGCGGGCCTAATAATTTCGTTGGAAATGAAACTATATCTAGGTTAAAAGTTGAATCTGAGCAATATGGTGACTTAATTCAGGAAGATTTCGTTGATACATATAATAATTTGACGTTAAAATCTGTAATGATGTTAAAATGGATTCAACAGAAATGTTTGAAAAAAATGAAATTTGTTCTGAAGTGTGATGATGACACCTTCGTCAATGTACCAAATTTGTTACATTTTCTTTTAGGGTAATGTCCTGTTATTTTCAATATTATGTATAAAATTTGAATTCAAAAATAATTTTCAATTAAATTATGCTATTTTAGTGGTACAATACCTGTGTACAAAGATACTTTGAAAATGTTCGATTCAAAAACCGTGAATGCTCTAGCTCCATCAAATCGCATGATAAAATCCAGGGATTTGCTTATAGGGTACATGTTTTGTGATGCTAAGCCAATAAGCGATATAACAAATAAGTGGTATACTCCAATGTATATGTATGCGGGTGAAAAATATCCGAATTATTTATCTGGATCTGGTTATTTAATGTCAACAGATGTTGTTGGTAAACTCTATGATGCCTCGCTTAACGTGTCAATATTTCATTTAGAAGATGTTTATGTTACTGGAATATGTGCTGAAAAAGCAAAGGTTAAGAGGAGACATAATCCATTATTTATATTTCATCATAGTCATGTTAGCTGTAGTTATAAAGGAATTATTACCCGGCATTATTTAAATACAGATGAGCTAAGAGAATATTATAATTTTGTAGCTAACACAACAATTAAATGTCCAAAGCTAGAAAAATATTTTAGATTAAATCGATTACAAGTTCGTCTAAAAAATTGTAATTAAAATAATCAATAATATATACATATTTATAAAAAATATTTATGTACATAGTTATATTACAATATTTAAGTATGTTATTATGAAAAAAGTCATATAGCTGCTGTGTAAGTTTAAAGTTGATATATTTTAATTTTATATTTATTCTTGTTCTTTTTATTTTTGAATATTAAGGATAAATTAACTAGTAAAGTTCGCGAGATTCATTTATATAATTGCAAATAATGACTGCCTTAATGTCTGTGAATGGATGTGAATTTGAAGCGCTTATATAAAGTTGTAGTTTGTTTCTAAGCTTTTGAGCTCGATGATAATTTTCATTTAAATTAAAAACAAATAAAAGGAATCATTATGTTATGAACTCTTAATATTCTAAACTGCACTACATATTTTTATAAAATTATTTAAATTTCTGTGGATGAAAAAATTTGTATTTTCAAAGTCAAAGTTATATTTTCAAAGTTTCGCATAAATTATTTAAGTAAATGCAACTTTACTAGTTTCTATCGTAATTTGCATCAAGTTACTGTTATTTTATACTATTTCTACTGCACAATTTATTGAAATCTAAAAGTATTAATACAAAGATTGTAAACATATAAAATAAGCTACGTACATGGTACGTTTTTTGTATACTTGTATGTCCATTAATATATATATATTATATATGTTCTGTTATACAAAAATAAATAGAATTTATAAAATAAAAACAGGATGCCAAATTCAATAATTTACAAAATATTAAATTAATAAAATATACTTAAAAAACTAAATAAATGAAAACCGGTTTTGTATATATATAATTTTCAAAAACGCATTTAGTTAATTCAAAACTATTTACTTTTTTTTTATTTTGAAAATATTTAAAAATCTAGTTCTTTTTTTTTCTATAATATTTAATGATTAAATATGGTTATTATTGAGTGTTAGACTATTATGAAAACAAAATTTCAGTATAAAAAAAAGTTTTATATAGTTTTATATGTTCAATAATATTAAATATTAAATTTTCATCAATTTATTTAAAAAATATGATTTTGTGCCAATTTTAATTTTTTAGACATATTATATAATTTTAATTAAAAAATACTCCTTTTTGATGTAGTTTGAAAGATTAAACTAATTTTGAAAAAATAAAGTACAGCCTAAATAAGTCAAAAACGAAATAAATGATGAAAGTGGAAATAAATTTTCATTTATAATTGTACAATGTTAAGATAAGTTATAAAATATTTTATATAAAAGGAATTTTAAAGTATAAAAAAAATTAAAGTTCATATTAATTTTTTCATATAACACTTAAAATTAAAAAATATAAAAATGTATTAAAAATGTGCATAATTATGTATTATGTTTAATATAGTGAACCATATAATTGTATTTAACGAAAATGAAGAATATGTACTGTTGTTAGAATAAGTATCCATAGCTGTGCCTTGAATTCAGTAAAAAAATAACAAAAATATATAAAAAGTAAAAGAAAAATGCTTTGAAATGCAGGAGAAGTCAAAATAAGAATAAAGCTGTATAAAAATATAACTACTACTTATATGTAAATAATTTTTTTGGATTTTAAAACTTTTTTCTTAAATAATTTCGCACAAAAATTGTTTAAATTTTCGTTTTAAAACTAACACACAATAAACGAATTATAATAAAGATGTTTTAAACTACTTTTTTATAACATAATAGATTTTTTTTTTTCATTTTAAGGAATTTGTGTTATATTAATAAGTTAATAAAATTAAATAAAATAAAATATTTAAAATAGAATTGAATGACATTGTTTTTCTTCTTTTTCAATAGCAGCAATATTAGAAATATGTTTAATATTATTTTATTGTAAATGTAATCAAAAATATAAAATGTTGAAAAAAAAACAATAAAATTACCTTATTTGAAAGTTACCAAAAACAGCTTTTATCCGTTTTAGTTTCAAACTAAAGCATGTGAACTGCAAAAATTGTATTCGAAAGTTAAAAAGCTATTTTAAAATTAAAAGATTTAAAAAGTTATTTTTAAAATTTAAAAATAAAAAGGAATATTTATTCCTCAACAAAAACTCATGAATGAAAGACACTGGCAAAATTGATTAGAATTTTGAAAACATAAATTGACAAGAGAGAAAGTTGGACGTTAAACTTTTAAAGCAAATAGAATTGAAAAGTGTTTACCATAATAAAAATCCAATTTAAGAAAAATAACTAGGAGTCCACAATCAAACAGATATTGCGTTTATAATAAATTTAAAGAAAATGTTACTTACCTTACTATTAAAAGTATGATTTTATTTTGATACCATTTAAGTTTTCAACTTGTTTGATATTAACTACTGTTGTAACTTAAAATTTTTAAGGAAATATTATTCTACCATCATCAAATTTATTTTCTCACCATCATCAAATTTTAAGATTAATTGAAAATGTTGTCCCTCAACCTTATTCAAGGTTTAAATTAGAAATGCAGATGCAAATTTTATTATCAAAAATTCCATATAATATAAAATATGCATAATAAGGATATAAAAATACAATATAAGATATGCATAATAAGGGTCTAGGCTTCTGTTAAAATTAAATAATAACATTATCAACTATTTTATAAGATGTTTATTAAATATTTGAAGTTTTACATTTCACTTTGTTTATAGTTCAATTTTTATATTTTTAATATTTATTTTTATATAAGTAGGTATCTTGTTAAGATAAATTTTCTTTTGTAGTTAGATGTTTTTTTTTTTGTTTTGATGCAAATAAATAGTATTATAACATTCAGTAACCTTTTTATATAATATAATAATTGGTCATTTTAAATACTTGAATTTTAAAGTTTCTTTCTTTTAATTTTACTTGTTTAATTTCCATTTTGTTTTTAAGGTAATAATTAATTTTGTGTTTATTAATATATTAATTACATTCATGTAGATAATTAATATTAAAATTGGTTTACTTTTTAGTTGTTTAATCGTTTTTCTTTACTTTTTTAAGAATAAATTTAGAAAAGTGATATAAAAGAAATTTTCATATAATATACTAATACAATTTTGTTTTGTTTTTTATATGAAATCCTTAAAACCTACATAGCACAGATACAATAATGTAGTATCATAAGTTTTTTTTTTCAGTAGATAGATAAATAAAAAAATAAAATACTTTTAATATTAATATAACATAATTATAGTTTTTTTTTTTCAATGAAAATAATTAGTTATTTGAAAATAGAAACATATTTTTATTATGCTTAACCACATTAATATACATAATTTTGTTTTTAAACTATTCATCTAAAATTTTTTAATTAATATTATTTTTGTTTAAAATTTGTTAGCGAAAAAAAAGAATATGTGAATTATATATAAATTATTTAAGTGCTCACATATATAAAAATATGAACGTATTTTAATACATATACATACAAGATAAATATTATCATTAGTGCCCAATTAATTACCATAAAAAATTCAAAAAAGCAAATCAAACGGAACACAAACTGTGAACCGTTTTATTTTTGTCTTCGAAAATCTAATTTCGTCCAATGAATATAATAATTACTCTTAATATGTCAAATGATTTTTAGTAAAACAAACCATAAAGAGACGGAATTTCAGCAAAATACTGTTACACCCAAACATTTGTACTAGACGTATTTCTTAATAAACAATATATGTAGATGAAAACTTGAATATATATTTTTGGAACAAGGTTTACCAAACTATTTCATATTTAGGTGAAGAGCCATACTTTTTAAATTGATTATCCCGAGTTCCATCTAATTATATTAATGGATTAATTTTTAATTAAAAAAGTATCATTTGACTTGAATTCATTTTAAAATTAATGTTATCAATACAAAACAAAGAACTAAAGAAATCAAGGAATATAAACATTGAAATTGGTTTGGCTCTGATTTCAGCGATTTCTTTATGCGAGAGAACAATATGGTAATACACACAATTTCAAGTACGAGATATTTAAAGAAACTGATACCATTTCCGTGACTTAATTAAATTTTCGATCATTCGAGCCGCAAATTCCACATTACTATGCTAATATTATGTAAAATCGTATATTTGTGTAAGTATGTATATAGTTGTAAAGAATACAATAGACCTACATTATTAATTAGAAGTAATTTAATATTGTACATATATTTTTAAATACATATTTTAAAATAAATTAAATAAATGATTACTAATTTTGTATATTATAAGAATTGACACATCGACAATATAACTGAATTATTTTTTTAGATCCTGTACTAAAATAGATTCTGTATTTATTGTGACTTTAAGATCAAATTATGAAACGAATTCTAAATATGTATATATTTACGTAAATGTCGATTTTCTATAGGGATTTACTAATCTCTACTCTAATGATTTTGAAGTTAACATAAAAAATTTGTGTGAGTATTTATTCGAATTTAAAATGTCATTTATTTATTTCACTATTTTTTAATTTAATTTTCTGAGCACTAAATGTTTATAATTAAAATTAAAAAAAAAATAGAATATTTTATTGTTAAATATTGCATCATTCTTTATTTAACTAATTTTGTAAATTTATTTTGTGAGTGAATTTTCTATTTTCTATTTTTTTTAATTTTTTTTATTTAATACGATGTACGAGTACTATAATAGTACACAGAAACAAGTACATATTTATAACTATATTATTACAAGACATTATAACACATTTTTGTAAATTTTGTTCGGTTAGATAAATTATACAATAGAACAAAGCGTTTTTGAGTATTTCATGTGATAAGTGAACAGGGACTAATATCACGAAAAAATTTTAAACCAAGCATTAGTATGAAATTTTGAAAATTTCCTAAAAGAATTTTTTAAAGTATAAAGTTTTAGCAACAAAAAGATTTTTCAAATATTCTAAATGGTAAGACAAAAATTGATGTTACATAGTATTTATTTATTCATGGAACAGAGTAGAAAAAATTTCATTCAGACTGATATTATGAGTTAAGATTTTTATTAATAATATGGATTCATAAAATATCTTATATATTATAATATCGAAAGGTTAAATCATATGAAAACTATACATAGTATGTATATTATTTTTGATTAGATAATTAGATTTAGTACATTATTTGTATAACCAATTTTCTATTTCGACTTTAAAGCCTAAGTAGAACTCAAAGTTTCTATTTTGTTATTTTATTAAATCTTAATAACTTGCTTCTGTTTTAATCTTTGAATACGTACTTTATTTAAGGGTATTATAGAATTAATGCAGTAATCTTACCAACTTTGTCTTGCTAACATAATTGCTAATAAATTAATTTTAAAAATGATTCAAATCTAAAATTTTAAGAGGGTTAGAAAGAAAAATATTCAATTGATTCTAACCAACAAAATTTGGTTACTTTTATGAATATTTTTTTCGTTCTTTTCCATATATTATGCTGTATCAAATTATTTAAAATATTAAAAACAAAATTGCTGTATTTTTTATATTTTAACAATAAAACTAAGCATGAATAGACAGGAACAGGTAGATAAGTTATAAAGATACTTTATAAAATACTTTATATGAATTTAGATAAAAATTTAGGTTTCATTTTCTTTAATTTTGGTTTATATAATAATTTAAATACCTTACAGTTAAATAATTTTAAATATTTATTATAAATACTAA